CAGTGGTGGTGGTTATGCGAGGTCTCTTGTTAAAATATTCATGACCCCCTAAAGAAAATTCAACAGGTAAACTTTTTTGTATTGCTTGTGCAGCAAGGGCTTCTGCTTTTCGTTTATACTCTTCCTTGGCACGAGGATTAGGATCATCAGTTGCCCATCTAAAAGCATTTTTGAGTAATTATTAATCATTAATATTAAAATATATTAAATAACAAAATAGCAAGCTATATATATATATATTGTAAATAAATAAAGATCATAATATTTCATCATACCTTACATTCAGTATCTAATACCATAATATTATTATTAATTATTAGTGACTTTTAATACCATTAATATTAAAAATAAAATTTTTGAAGAATTCACTTACTTCATTATGATCTAAACTTTGATTTGTCATTGCTTCTTTTGCAAATTCTGCATTAAGCGGACTTTTATATGTTACAAAAGCTACACCTTTGTCTTTTAATATTTTAACTAAAACATATATTGTTATTAATGAATGAATAAATAAATAAATATATTATGAGTATATTAATCCTAATAAACTTGCAAATAAATAAAATATAATAAATAATGTGATTACTTTTTTCAATTTCACCCCATTCACTAAAATATTTACTAACTATTTCTTCCATATCAGATCCAACATGTACATGTCCAACATATAATGTTCTATTTTCACGGTTAAATGAGCCCACTCCGCCCATATCATCACGATATTCATTAAATTTATCACGTCCAAATGCGTCAATTGTTGAATCAATTGGATCAGATTCTTTAGGAATTCTATGCCAATAATGACATTCATATCTTTATAAAATACATACATAATATTAATTAGGAATCATTCTCAACCTTCTTCTATTCTCTCCTTGCTTCTCCCCCCATAAAAGAGTATGTAAAATATGTAAAAAAATATAGTATACCCAAATGGACAACATCCTCTTGCAAAATTAAGACAAAAATATGCATTAGGCATTTTATCACCTTTAGTTTCACCAGCATCAAGTTCGACATTACATCGAGTTGTTGCTTTCTCTCTATTCAAAATAAATAAAACATAAATAAAACAATAATTAATTATTGATACTAGTAAAAGTAAATTCCATATAACAAAACCGTTATTATCTAGTTACCTTGTATATTTTGATGCACGATCACCACCAGACCATCTATTGTACCATATATTATAAAAGGTGCCAGGACGATCGTTTAAAACAGCTTTTGATGGCCCCATTTCACTATTAACCTATATAGTTTTATAAGTAGATAGATTAATAACTGCTGTGATATAAAAACTAAATGCTATCAAATTTACTTGTTTTCTAGCTGGTTTCATTGTTGTCATTATCGTGATTGTTGTAATTTGTAATAACTTATTTCAGTGAACCTAATCTCGAAGATTTTCTAAATTAGGCCAATTTAGGGGCCTTCTTATTTTTTTTTTTAAAAAAAAAAACGAGGGTGGTAAAAATTTAATTCGTGATTTGTACGAAAATTACAAATGCGTGTTCATAACTATGACAAAGTAAAATAGACTTATTTCTTATTCCTGAATTAAATTTGGACCTTTGCACGTAATTGGGTAATTGGAAGTAATGAACAAGAATCATTTCCTATACACATAGGAATGTCAATAGTAACAGAACTTAAATAGTCGAAATTTCAATTTTCCACAAGTGACTAATTCTTTTTTCATTTGTTAAAACAAAACTAATTATACTATGCTGAGACACATCTGTCCAGCCATCTCCTGATAATGTTAAAACTTTTGATTCAGCAACAAATTTTTCAATTTGAGATTTTACATTAGTATGCACATTCTCTAAAAATTTCTGTACTTAGTAAGATGGCCTTGTGATGTTAAAAAGCTTGATTACTTCAGGATTTTCTACAAAAGAAAAAGGGACATTTGCAGAAATCAATGCATATAATATAATAATTGCTTATTAACAGTATTTCTTTCATCTATTGAAATCTTTCTATCAACAAAACTTTTAATACTAAATTGTGTGGAAAAAAACAGATATAACATCAGAATTGTAACCTAAATTATAAAAAGAATATTAATATAAATTATTCAAAAATTTTCTACCATCATTTAATTCAGTCATCTCTTGTGAGTCATTATCATCATTTTTGGTTCTTTTTTTAGGAAGCTCAAATAAATCAGAAAACTCTGCACAAAGGTCTTCATCTACTTTAAGACATTCCAGTTGCAGATGTCTTGTCATAATTTTATTAACACCATGAACACTTGAATTGCAATAAATACAATTTGCTTGGTAATGTGAACTATTTAGTTTTTGTCCCTTGGTGAAATAGTTCCAAATTTCACCTTTTCTTCTCCCCTGCTTCTTATTATTTAACATATTTTATCTTGTAAAAATTGTGTTAATAATGTGTGGTTAATAACATGTGGTTATTAATTAACTGATTATTAACTGATTATTAACCAATTTGATTGCTCAGCAGAATTGATTATTTAAACTTTTGGATTAATAACCCTTGCCCGGAGCACAATAATTAATAAGGGGTTGTTGACTAATTAATAACTTAGGTAGGGTTATAAATTCCCATCACTAACCACTCATTTTCGGAAAATGAAAATATTTTGTTCAGATTTCAATTATTTCAAGCCAGCGTAGCAAAAAATGACTCATTCATTACCCTTTGATTTTGATCTCATCGTAACTGCACTGAATTTACCATTTCAAGTCTTCTTTACAACCAAATATTTCAAATTTGGTGTAAAAAAAAAAATCTACGACATTTAGAACACAGCAACCTTTTTTCTTTTAACTGTTAAAACACCAAGTCGAATTTTATATTTTATATTTTTATAATGTCACATGATAAACTATTATTATTGTTGAAAATTTATGGTGAAATGTATAATAATGCTCTGGTTAATTCTGATAGAGAAAGCAGAAAAGATTATTTTTTTTCATTGGTCAAAAAAAACAAGGAGCTTTCTGAAAATGAAAAAGGATATTATAAGGAAAGGTTTATTTATGGATTTGAATTAGATAATGCAATGTATAAATTGGGAAAACCAAAAGAATGTAAATTGACAAGATACTCTGATAGATTCTGTGAGAGTTGTATTAGATTACAATTACAGAGCACTACTTTGACATCTGGAAATAATGTAATTGATGATGACTTTATTCAACAATGTCAAATGAAATCATCTCTACCAGGCTATATTTTTTAGAATGGATACCTTTTGAGCAATTTGAAGAAATAACAAAATTGACAGAAGGTGAATTTAGTTCAATTTATACTGCCACATGGACAAAAAGAGCTACTGTTGATTATGATGGAAATAAAAAGGAATAGTGATATTAAAAAGTTTAAATGATTCAAGTAATCCAGGAAAAGGATTTTTTGATGAGGTTGGTAGTTGTCATTTAAAACAATACAGTATTATATAATACTAATTGATTCTATATTTATTTTCAGGCAGTGAATCATTGTAAAATTAAATCACATGGGATTGTTAGGTGGTTTGGTATAACTAAATTCTCAGTAAATGGAAATCATGGAATAGTTTTAAATTATCACCCAGAAGGAAATTTAAGAGATTATTTGCAAAAACATCATTTAAATTTAACATTAAAAGACAGAATTATAATCTTTGATTATTTATGCAAAAAAACTCGAGTAGCTTGTTTAGTAGCCTTACATTTACAATTACCAGTATTTCCGATTAACCTTTGGATGATACTTCCTTGACACCTACTAGTTAACCAACGCTAGTTCTAGCTTGCTTGCTCACTAAAGCAGATAAACGTACCAAAGATCCACAATTGTTGCCTTTTTACCAAGGCATTAACTACGCTTGTTATTTTTATCAAAGCGCTTCAATAAAGAAAATAAAGACAATGTTTTATTTTTATTTTTATTTTAATTTTATTTAATAAAAATAATGATTCTATTGCAGAGTTTCATTTTATTAGAATGTTAATTATTTTATGCTTTTTCAAACAAAGCCCAGAAGTTATCAATGAAATTTTCATTGTTCACTACAATAAGGATAAGGATAAAGATGAATCGATTAACATTGATATTATAATTATTTGCATAATAATAATTACACACTACAATTAGTCGACCCTGGAACATACATAAACTACAGAATCTCTAATCGATGATGATTTTTATCTACCCCGATCATGTATCATGAGTGTGGATTTGTATTCAACAAAAGAAAAACTTAGTGATTGGGATTACAATTTTTTGAGAGTTTTTATATTTTATTGGCCTTTAAATCAATTTTACTTGTCTTTTTTATTTAATGGCAGCGAATTTGACATGATAGTTTTGCAAACAACATTATAATCTGCAGTATATTCGTTAATTAGATATCCAAGAAATACATGGAAAAATATATAAAATAATTTATAAAAAAACACAAGTTAAAAAATTTGTCAAAGCACCTGCATGGGAGGAAAATATTCAGACCCAAAGGCATTGTGAGTATTACCTATTCTTTGGGCACTCTGACCAATAAGTTTGAATTGGCTTCTTTTTGGTTATATTTTGTTGATTATCTATCTATATTACAAAATTGATTTTTGTAAGTCTTGCAGTGAAGCAAGAAACAACCTATAAAAAAGCTCATTGTTGAAGGTAAGCATTTTTAAATGTTTGTTGTTTGCTAATGAAAATATTTTGTTTACTTTATTAAAAAATAAAATAAAATTGTGTTTAACAATAATTATTGAAGGGTTTGTAATTGAATTTTTTTTTACCTGAAATAAGTGAATTGGTTATGGTTTCTAAATGTTCAAATACAAGATGGGGTGGTGTGAATGTTGTTTTGATGCCAATAAAAACAAAGATAATCTTGAATGTAGGGTTGGTTCAAACAACTTAACAACTTTATTTTTGTTGATAAGCAATGCAATACAACAATTATGTTTGCATAGAGTAGTAATCCTATGTATTTTTCTTTATAGTTAGCAAAAAAAAAAAAAAATAAATAAAATGATGGCAAGGAAATTATGAAATGATAAATCCAATTACACTAAATTTTGTTTCTTGAAATTTACTCTTGTTTTATGCAGTGATTTCCAAATCAAAAATGTTGTTACATATAGAAATGGTCTTGGTAAAAATCGACTGAAGCAAGCCCATATATTTTGTAAAACAATGAATGGACATAAATTTTACATTTGATTAGTTGATTCAGGTGTTGTTATTATATTGATTTAAATAATGGATGTAATGGATCACACATCTTTTGGAGAGCCTAGTTACAATTAGAGAAAAAGAAATTTTTTATAAAAATATGACGTATACATGGAATTTCCTTTTTGAAATAACAGAACTGCGGCTATCCACAAAGAGATAGTCAACATTATAAAGTTTGCATAGCAATACATAGCTATAGTAACAATAACACGACATATATTTTACTTTCCAAAAAAACATGACTCATTCTCATTTCCATACAATTGCAAATACAAATCCAAATAACTTGCCACCAATCTCCCAACCAGCTGAAGTTGCAAAATGGGCAAAATATAAAGCTGATTCTATGATGCGTCAATGGGAATTTCAAGTCAATTTATCAAAAGGTTTAGACCATTTTTATGGTGCAAACTTGGCAGTTAAACAATTTTGGCCAGCTAGTACCGGTGGAATGTATCCAAATCTTATATCATATCTGGAACTGGTACTTAATAAACAAAATACTATAACATTAAATGATCTTGACTCTGATTTAATCAACCTTTTGAGGAACATGAATAGTCATGAAGGAGTTGTTTCTACAAAAAGACATCAGCTTGAAGTAAATAATCAAACTATGATGAATTTGGATGAAACGATGAAAATACCTAATCATGATCGTGCCCAAGAAGCAATATCCACAAAAGAAGCTTGCACCATATGCACCGATTTGTTGGATTTTAACCGTGGAAATGATATTGTAGAATTGAACAATTGCTCGCATATTTTTCATAGAAATTGTATAGAAACTTGGTTGAGAACTCCTACTTCACAAAAAATTTGTCCGAATTGTAAAAAACCTTGCTATAACTCCACATCAAAAACAACAGCAGTCGGAACCATGCCTGATGGTGAAATGGCATATTTTTTTAGTGATAGGCTGGGTGCTTGGTTTATTTGTTATTTTATTCCACATGGTACACAATCATCATTTCACCCTTCACCTGGACTTCCGTTCAGAGGAACTATACGTACTGCTGTTTGTCCTATCTACTCTAAATGGGGTCCTTTGCTATTCATTCGTCTGGTGACAGCATTCTACTATCGTCACACTTTCTCTGTTGGTACTTCACTTACTACTAACTTGTCGGATACTACAATATGGAATGGTATTCATCATAAAACTTGTATAGATGGATTATTTGGATTTCCAGATCCTGAATATGAAACAAGGGTTTCTAGTGAATTGGATTCAAAAGACATTTTGGTGTTTTTACATGATATAATACAATAATGAAATGGTAACGATGACAATGAAAAAATTTATAAGTCTTGAATTAATCAATATTAATTTTTTTTCTTTCATAACAAAATTTATAATGACAATAAAAATTTCTAAATATTATATTAATAAACTTTGTAATTTTTTTTATTGTTATTCTCAACAATTTGAAATCTGATTATTAATCAATTTTTGATTTAATCATAACCAAATACAACAAATCTCGAACTTTTTAACTTACTATTCCTGCACAAGAAAATGACTTCAAATTATTATTGTCAACAATATTATGTTTGTTAGTATCAATAATATTATGTGTATTCTTTTTGATAAAAATTTTATATTATAGTATTATTATTATCGTGAATGTTCGATAATCAATTAACAGCTAGAACATGATTTACTGAAGAAATATTCTAATTCTAACTCTATATAATTGATACCGTTTACAAAGTTGATTCTATATCATTATATGCCATTGTAACTTTCATTTTTATTGCTAACAACAAACTTTCACTCTTTCCCGAATTACCAAGATAAAATCTATGAATTTTTGCTATAGCTTCCAATTCCTGCAAAGAGAAACTATTACCATAAAACCAATCTTAATGTTGAGAATACCCATTCACAAGCAATAGAATTTGGTGTTATAGAAAAAAGCTTCATCATGTGATATTATGATTGTTGAATGTATGGTTCTAAATGAAGGCTATATCTTCATAACTGAGAAAATAAATTATTTAAATATTCTTTTTTATATCCTGTATGATTAACAGATACAGATAGTCTACATGAAGTGATTTGATATTCATTGTGAAATTTTTTCTTGTCTTAGATCATTTATATCAGTACCCTAATTTAATATATATATAGTAAATAAATTATGATTTAGAATTATTACAACACTTAATTATAATTTGAATTTAATTATATTTATAATACAAGATAATCTAACCTTATTGTGGATGTAAATAAAAAGCCAAAAGGTAATTATAACCCATGAACTTTTTATTAATATACTATCTCTAAAGTCTTTACGCTTGGCTAGATACCCTACAAGAACAATGGCAGAGAGTGCTTATAATAGAATTTGTGCAACCATTCAGGTAAAGTTTTTGCATAGAAAAATTATCTTCAAACGTATTCAACAAACCAATTTTTTGCATAGATTACCAGAGAGAATTGTGACCCCATTCGGTCCAGAAGGCAAGAAAGTGAGCCCGCCTTGTTGTCGACCGATTTTATTGATAACAGTGTGGGACGCAATATGCCTTCTTTGGACGTACTACATCAGCCGACCTCCTCGGAAGGCAACGCTACAAGAGCAGAACAAGTACTTTGCAAGGTGTCTGGAACTCTTAGCCGAGAAGATAGTAAAGATGGAACCAACCTTATTGTACCGTCCTCAAACAGTAAATCTCACATATTCGAAACGAAAAGGGAAAATATTGAGGTTCATGTTTGGTGTGTCGATTCGTTGCAGAAAGGAAGTGCCAGCATCGAGAGTAAAAACAATGAGGATATTACAATGGGGTTCGGAGCCTGCCCTAACCAAAGAACAATTGGCGCACTGCAGACATCCTTTGGGAAATTGTTCAGAATCGGTACCATGGGAGACGTTACGTGGACAACGGAAATCCTGACGAAACCGTGTTGCTTTGTATTCGCGCACCCTTGCCCTACCAAAGGAAGAGGAACCAATGGCGATCAAGAATCCATGTCTCAGGTGTCAAAATGTGATGAACAAAATGAAGCATTTTGCAACAATACACTTATGGTAGTCGATACATTTGTTAATGATTGATTGGATCAATGTAAATAATTCATCTTATGATTTTGAATTAATTCATTGTGGTTCTCAAGATGGATTTTCAAGGGCAATTTTTGAGAAGAAATGCTACAACATTGAACAAACCATGATTATAATGAAAATTAAGGGAACTGGAGAATTAGTAGGTGGATATAATCCAGTGTGTTGGAATAAGGAAGACATGTTCCCAGATGAGGAGTATGAAATTGAAGCAGATGGAAGTTTTATTTTTAAGACAGACAAAAAACAAATTGATGATTCAATATTAAGCATAAAGACTAGTGCTGTAATCCAAAAAAGGAAAAAGTATGGTTGCAAAAGTGGTTGCAAAGGTAATTGCAACCACTTTTTATATGCCATAAATACAATTACTACCATCATCATAATTTACAGCACTAGTCTTTAATTAAGCAGAGTCAAAAAACCTGAATGGGCAATATCTCATCAATGCCAAATTATTAATTGTACTGTTGGCAATGTAATGTTCATGAAGTATTAGTAGATTTTTATGATTTACAATTATGCAACAGTATTAATGGTGAACCTTATTGCTATTATAATTATGGTGCAGAAGTTTATGAAAATGATTTGGACCTTATAAATAAGGATAGCAAAATTCATTTGTTAGAAAATTATAAAGTATATAAGTTAGTAAAGAAAATATAAAAATAAATTTTAATAAATAACAATTATTGCACTCACTATATATAACTGAGTATAAATAAATAAATTTCATGAATTTTTTTTACAATGCAATGCATGACTTTTCACAATACCAAAAATTACATACACAATTAATAAATAAAAATATAATGGTAAGTTAAAAAGTGGTTTTTACTTTTATTACAAACATGACTCTCAATTTAGATAAATAAATTTGTCTAACAATTTTAATTTCAATTAATTACTTACCATTTGCACAATCAACTATGATGGTAGTAGTTATATCATATATAAAGGAATTTTCCATTAAGTACATTTCAAATTTTTCAATGTTAAAGCCAATACCTGAATAAAATAAATAAATAAATGGATGTTTGTAGATCTTGTTTATTAACAATATTAAATAAACTTGTACACATAAAGACATCAGATCTTAAATTTATACTTTACAAATATGGCTCTCCAGTCTTTGTAAGTTATAACAATGTTCATTAATAAATTGATATCATGATAAATAAAGTGCAGTCCAATTGTATGCCAGTCATGTGATCTGGCCTTTTTCATTTTATTAATATTTTTATATTTGTATTTTTGTTAAGTATTGATAATAATTGATAAAGAGACTTTATAATATTTGATTTTGATTTTGATTTGGGTTTATTTTACATTGTAAAATAGTACAAGAATTGTGGCTATGATGTTTTTCAATATTATTAATAAAGAATTTTCTTTATTTGTTTATAAGTTTTTTTTGCTCTTTAAGTGTTAAACATGAAAGAGCATGCATTGCTTGGATCAATAGATTTTTTGCCAATTCATTCATTGACCATTAAATTTGATCTCTGTGACATAATGTTCACTTTGTCTGGTTTTGTTGCAGTATGCCCCATATGACAATTTTTTGTCAATCTTTTTTTCAATAGTAAACTTTGAATGATTATAACTCTTTAAAGAATAGAGATACTGACTCCAAGTTAAGTTTAAAACATACTAGAGAAATAGGACAATAAAGTAATAGAGCCCTTTTTTTTATTTTAATATAAACAATGGCATTTATTTTAAGCTAGAAAATCAAAGTAAAAGTTGTGAATATATGTTACAAAATTTTATGCAAGTAAAATTGTAAAAAGCTCTCTATTAGTTTAAAGAGCATCAAAAAGTGAATCTAAATCATAAATTTTTATTTGAATATAACATATAGTTTAAGAGTTATTTTGAGTTTTGTAATTTTGCGAAGTTTGCCAATTTGTATAATAAATCTATGACCAGCGTACATGTATGACATTGTTCTTTTATAGAAAAAAATTTACGTCTAAAGAAGGAGTACCATCGATTCTTAACTTCCTTTACAAAAAAATAATTGGTTCATATAACTTTTGAGAAGCTTCAGGGTCAGCACTGTCATTATTATCATTGATATCACCTTCATCAACACCATTTGCTTCAACATCAGAGTCCAATTTAACATTTGATAAAAGATCATCATCAATTGATGTTGAATCATTGAGTTTGAAGAATCTAAATCTTCTTCATTAACACTTGAAAAAGAAAAAAGAAGATGAAGAAAAACAGTGCAGAAGTCAATACATCACTGCATCATAGGAACAAATTCATAAATATAGCTTTTTAGAGTAATTTATATTAGTCTGTCTGTGAGTGTTTTCATGTCAAAAAGAATACAAGTGACAATAATGATGACAGTAAAAATTATCAACTTCATATTAAAAATTGTTTATAAAAATTTTTTTTTTGAGGAATAAAAAATTGTTACATATTTGTATTAGATAAAGAAATGTTGAAATAATTTATTAATCAAATTTTTTTGGCTTTAGAACAAAAATAAAAAGAAACTTGTATTTTAATGATTGATTTTTAGTGGTTGACTCTTTCTCAATAATAATAAAATAAACTTTTCTTGTCATGAACAATCACGTGCCAAAAAAATTCATAAATTATTTCAAATTATCCTTTTTCCTTAGAAATTAATGAGGAAGAGATATTCTTTTGTTAAAGAAATTGGTTAAGTATCATCAGCTTCGGGATCCTCCCAAATAGTGAATGGAATTTTCATTGAT